CCCGGGAGGGGACGCGGGTGTCCGCGGGTGGGCCGCGCCTCTCGGGCAGCAGCTTGCCTCAGAGCCTGTGGAGCAGCCCGAGGCCGCCGGCTGGGGTGAGGGAGCCGGGTTCCGGGCGGGAGGGTTGCGGGGCGCCGCCGGCGCTCCCGGGAACCCGGGGCGGACGGGACCTTTACGTTTATTTAGCCGCGTTGAACTTTTCCCCGGTCCGGTGCTTGGCGTTTCTCTGTCGTTCTTGCCCTTTTGCGTCATCGGGATCGAATATGTAATTTGGCGTGAAGTGTCTCAGTTCATTAATGAATCGGTATTACGGTAGTAGGCCGATTCGTAGTTATCTTTCAGCACATATTAGCGTCTTACCTTGTATGCGAATAAAAAAAAATAAAAAATAAAATACTCAGCCCCTGCTCTAGAGCTAGGAGGAATGTGTTCAGTGTGTGTCTGGAATCGACTGAGGCCCCCAGGCAGACCGTGGTGAAGGCATTTGCAGCCTTACTGCTGTAGACCCACCGGCGTTGCCGTGAAATTCCAGAGATTGGGGTTCTGAAAGCATTTTGCTGCCTATTTTTTGTTCCGTGCTAAGAAAAATCAGTCGAGTTGTGCAACGTGTCCTTTCAGTCCTTCCCTTTCAGAACTGAGTTAGATAAATCCGCCTCTTGTGTTGACCTGCTGGGACAGGGGCATCTTTGTTGTCCAGTTAATAGATTATTACTGAATATTTACAACTCTGGCTTCATGAATTTATTCTCCTTCCTATCCCACACCCAGTCTCTCTTACCCTTTACATTATAAACACTGTTGTGTGTCTGATATGTAACTCTGAACTGTTTTTATAACCCCAATTACATACTATCGCATTGTCCACTTGTTTTCTAGGCAGCAGTGACTGCTCTTTAAGTTGTCTTAAATAAAAGTGCTGCTGATGTTCTTTTTGGGGGTCATGCTGTGCTGTCTTCTTTAAGAGACTAGGAAAATAATCTACAAAATGCTAGGCTTTTGCCCCCCCCCCCAACCCCCGCCCCTGGAGAAAGTTGTTTCCTAGTTTTAAGGAATGCAAGATTTCACTTCAGCAAAACAGTA